AACTCCCTTATTTGCCATCTGAAACTTGGTTGTGTCTTGAGGTTCTAGAGTCACTTAAATCCAAAATCCCGGAAAGATTGATGAGATATAATCCTAAATGAAATGACATGACTGTCTTGCATATATGTTAATGTATATGAGTTAAATCTGTGATACCATAAACAAACAAAAAGAATAAGGTAAGGTAAGACTTATTTTAGATGGACATTTTATTTTGTGAATGCACCTAGTTGCAATCTCCTTTTCTCAAAGTACAACTTGTAGTTTCTTTAAAAGGATCATGATCAGTTGTACCTGCTCTAAGCTCAGGAATGTCTACAATGTCTACTGCAAATTTTGGAGCCATCATCTTCTGCAAGTAGAGAATTTGATCTAACATTATTCAAAATAAGCCAAACTATGCTGTAATAACAGACTCCTAACCTTGGGAGATTATTGTTGGACACTGTCACCTCAATCCACCTCAGTTAATAACACGCAGGATCACTGCAGCAAAGAGACTGTGGAGAACTCACACCTGTGCTAAATGCTCTGGACTAGAAGCTACAATCACTTGCACTGAAGGCCCATTGGTCAGAATTGATCCTATAACCCTGCCTAGCTGCAGGGGGCTGGGAAATCATCCCAAATGCCCAGGAAGAGGAGGAGAATTACATTAGGTTGAACAATATTAACCTCTATCACAGACCCCAAGAAAGATATTTCACAAGGAATTCAAACAACAGGTGCATAAAGATGCTAAAACCTTGGTTCATAACTTATGTAAGATGTATACATATTTGTTTTCCACAGTGAAGCACACATTTCCACAGCTCAATTTAAGCCACTGACAGTATGATGTTGATGATACTCTAAGGAATATCTCCTGTTTCTTCTCATTATCTTTACCTAAAAGTTTTGCAAAATACAGTAGTACAATTTCTACCAGCACAACAGTTCCCCCTCTGACTCAGAATCCAGGTGGTAAATCTTGGGCTGTGCACTCAGTGAAATGCCTGTGGTTTATAAAGGGCCCTTCAGACACAGCTGTACCTGAACTATACTGGAAAATGCAAATCTAACCAGTGAGTGGCAAGTTCTTTCAATAACTCCTTTTTTAAACTATAGGTGGGCCATTTTCCCTGAGCCATGTACACTGCACATCCACAAAGCCATTCACTCCCCTTGCCATTTAGCTAGGCAGTTTCTGAGAGAAAATTGCTGTGTGACTACAGTATTTTTCAGAGAGTGGGTCATTTTACCACTGTTGTTGTGCATGCAGCACTCGGGGATTTTCAGGCACATTTTAAATGATTCCAGTACTGAGGGGAGTGGCCAAATCATGGCTTCTGCTCATATCCAACGCCACTTATGTTGACTTCCCAGAGATGGGTTCTATAAACATCGAGGACTTGAAAGAGACAAGAAGCCATCATAGACATTAAAAAAAAAAAATAGAACAGTGGTAAAAGAGCCAAATGCAAGTTGAAAAACCAAAAATATTTACAGTGTGGGCAAGCCACAATTTGCAGCAGGGGTACAGCTCTGTCCCTAGGACTGAGGAAAGATGTTCCCTCCTCTCTCTCAAAGGAGTGCCTTTTAAGACTCTGAGTTCAGCAGCCGGCAGTGGTTATTTTCCTTAAAATCAACCAAAAACTTATGTGTGATTAGTTTGAGGGGGAAAAAAAGGAAGGTAAAAATGTTACAGCTGGACTAATTCTTAAGCCTTTTCTAAAGATTTTAGTTGTCTCTTCATCACTATTAACCAAAGGAAAAGGAGTTTTCACACAAAGTAGATGCCTCCACACACTGACTAGACAGACCTCAAATTAGTAATGCCTTAGTTTTTCTTTCTAAATAAGGGAAACTCTATGTTCCTTACACACACACACACACACACACACACACACACACAGCTGGTTTTCCATCTATCCACCCACAGTAAGTTTCTACAGCCTCATTAAACTAGACTACTAAAGGTTGTTCAACAAATGAACCCATGCTTTTCTCCTCCCCTGAAATCCAGCTGTGCTTACAGGAACCAGGGACCTTGAAGTGCATTGATTTTGACCTTCTACTTCCTAGAAACATTGTGTGGGCCACCCACTCTGTCCGGTGCACATAAAATCTTTGCTCTTGAAGTCACTTTTCCAGTCCTTTAAGTGCTGGTGTGTTCCTGAGGCTCTCTTCTGTTTTCACTGCACCCACTCTCATTGGATGATGCCATCTACTGCCCTGATTTCTGTGATGCGCTGTTTAACCATTTTTATGTTGATGGTGCTCAAAATCTCAGATGTGTCCCAGTCTCTTTAAACTCTACATGTCCCCAGCTGAACTCAACATCTTCCCCTCAATCCAAACATATTTCACTCCCAGGTGTTTGGGCTGGAAACTTGACCATTATCTGTAACACTTCCCACTCCTCTTTAATCATTACCCATCTAGATTCTTCTTCTATCCATGCATTTACTGTCTTTCTTGTTGACTACTGCAACAGTGTCCTAACTGTTCTCCTGGCCTCCAGTCTTATCCCTTTATGATCCATTTTCCACAGTGAAAAAGAAAGAAAGAAAAGAAGAAAAAAAGAAAGAAAGAAAGAAAGAAAGAAAGAAAGAAAGAAAGAAAGAAA